ATTGTTGAATGGTGTGCGCGAAAACCGAATTGATAGTTAGGTAATATATTTTTTTCACTAATTATGGGAAGTATGCGATTTAGTATTAGTCTTTCTAGCACTTTTCCGAAGAAAGGTAATAGACTAATTGGTCTATATGACGTTACCAGGTCAGGGGGCTTGTTTGGTTTTGGGAAAAGTACGATTTTGGAGAACTTCCATAAAAGTGGGAAGTATGACAATCTGAGTATGGCGTTATATATATGAGTTAGTAATACGGTTGCGCGTTTAGGAAGGCATCTGGCTTCCTCAGCCGTTATTAGGTCAAAACCCGGAGACTTCCTATGAGTATGCTTTTGAATTGCAAATTTGATATCGCTCGGTGAAAAATGTTTAATTGAGGAAGATAGAGGTAGAGGCATATCAAGACCACTAAGAATCGTATCAGAGTTGACAGATAAAATATCTTGGTGAGGTTGAAAAACATTAAAGAGGTGATTTTTAAAAAGTTCTGCTTTCTCTGTGTCAGACACAGTGAAACTCCTATCAGATTTTTTAATAGGCGGAGTGGTTATTTTAAAATATAGTGCTTGTTTGGACGCTTTCCAAAGGCTACCATTATTTATAGATAATTTACTCGAAAAATTTTCGTAGTTAAGATTTTTGATTTTTGCTAAGACTTTTTTAAGATGATTGCCTAAGTTATTGTATATTTGTTTGTGGGAGGGTAAACGAGTGCGTTGAGGGCTCTAGCTCTTCGTTTTTCTGAAATTAGGATACGGATATTAATCGGCAGCGAATTAGAGTTGGTTTTATGTACATTTTTAACTGTGTTGGCCGCCCAGGCTGCAGATTGAATAACATTCGTTAGGTTATTTACAGCTACATCTATGTCATCATTGGATTTGAATCTGACATTTAGTTGAAGATTCTGGTTAACCAGGTCGTGGAATTTGTATCGATCAGTAGTAGTGTGAAATAATTTTAGTGGTTCCGTATTAATTGAAGGAAAGTCGTTAAGTGTGAGAATGACCGACGAGTGATCAGAATTTAAGGTTATTTACAGCTACATCTATGTCGTCATTGGATTTCCCTCTGACATTTAGTTGAAGGTTCTGGTTAACCAGGTCGTGGAATTTTTATCGATCAGTAGTGATGTGAAATAATTTTAGTGGTTCCGTATTAATTGAAGGAAAGTCGTTAAGTGTGAGAATGACCGACGAGTGATCAGAATTTAAGTCTAGAATATTGTCGATAACATAGTGTACATTTGAAGAGGTTTTTGTTATAAAAATATCTAATATGTCTGGGTTTTTGTGTGGGGTTGAAGGCCAATAGGTGGGTCCTGGAGGCGCGAGCACCTTGAATTTCCTTGTATTTACAAAATTAAAGAAAACGTTTCCGCGTGGGTTGTTCACTCTACAGCCCCAACTCTGATGCTTCGCATTATAATCCCCACCTATGATGAAGTTATTGTTTATTGAGTTGAAGTAATTTGAAAAGTTCTCATAGGAAACATTATGCTTTGGAGGTGAATAAATTGCTGCAACTGTGATTGGAA